AATTATATGAAGCATTAACAAAATAGGGAACTTTCCTACAAGCAGGAAGTGATAGAAGTTAGATTTAAACCCCGGCTCTCACTCTAGAGTCTGAACTCTTTAGTGCTTCACAAAACTGCCTCCCTTAAGTATAATCCTATTTATACCACAGAGCCTAGTATCACCGGCTCTCAACTTTAACCACTCACTCTAAACCCATTGCAGGATATATCTAGTCTCCCACCTTGAGGCAGAATACTATCACACCAGCATCTATGCAGACACTGGGCTCTATTCCCTGAAACTCCCAGGGCAGTGAAGCAGCCCTCTGTGGTTACTAACTGAGTTCTGGGACAAGCCAGCCAGTCACAGCTTGGTCCCTAAAGCTACAGTCTGCTTGGGTGCCAGGGCTCTAGGTATATTTTCCATATTTACTGATGCTTTGGACATTGTCAATTTGTAGTTAATTTTTTTTTTCATACTGTTCTCTATATTTTTCTGATATCCAAAAAGTGTATCCTAGGTCATCTGTATTATTTTCACTTTAGTTGCAAAATTAATGTTCCTAAATAACCATGGCTAGAGCTCCAACTCTGCATCCAGTAAGAAACAGCTCAGTCTTTCTCCTGTCTGCCTTCTGATATCTGCAGGGAGTCTTGAGAGCTTAAATGTCTTCTATTCACCCCAACTCTAACTTCCTGCTTCTGCTCATCTCCCTTGCCTCTCAACTCCTGTGGCTGGTATTTTTTCATATCTGTGTGCAATTCCAAACATGGAGCACATCCCATTTCCTTTGGTACTCTTAAGCAACTACAAAATCAAGGTCATTGTGAGTCACAGATTTTTAGTGAAAGAGTGGGGATAAATGAAGTTTTTTTTCCAGTGCTACATAATGAAAGCACTTACCATTTGAGGTTAGATGCCCTACCCCCAATTACCCTTTCACCAGCATCACTGAGAGCCTCTAGCTCATTTGCCTTTTACGCTCACCCTCAGGACTTGCTTCTCTACATTTTTCCTCTCTAGACTCTCTGGCATCCCTTCTCTCCTCAAATTATTCAGAACTCTTGAGCTGCAGTTCCCCAACCCACCCCTACCACCATCCTCCAAATACTTCTCATTTTATTTTGTAGAGCAATTCACCTTCCTTTTAGTCTCTTTCAAGCCGTCTGGACTAGGGCCTAGGACTTCATCTCTAAAACTCTAAGCAGCCTACAGAGATAGTTTCCTAAACATTAGGTTCTTTGCTTAGGAGAGAAATTAGCTAAAAAGTGCCCTCAGCCCTCAGCCCTCAGTCCTCAGCTCCAATCTCCAGAAGGCAGACTTGGTTGCAGATGCCAAGGGAGCTCCTCCTCCCTTCTCCTCCCTTTCCCCTTCTCTTTCCTGTAACAATGAGTTTTTCTGATTAGCTGCATCTCAAGAAATGACAATCCTTCACATCAACACGTTATGTCACATCAACATAACATCTTGAGTTAGAAATATGTCAGTTAGAACCTTTGGGATTTGAGACTAGAAGTTCTCTGAAATCTAGAGTGCTCAGTGGTGTGAGACATTGGCAAGTTTCTGACACTAGTACTAACTACAGGTACCCTTGTAGAGTGAAACATTTTGTTTGTGTTCTACCTAACACTGGAATGTTCTGGGACTTACTTCTCCAAAGCCTCAAGTGTACTCAGAGAAGAGAACAGAATAGCTTTAATAGCTTAATCCTTCCCTTTCCTTCCCTTCCGTTCCTTTCCCTTCCCTTCCCTTCTCTTCCCTTCCTTTCCTTTGCTTTCCCTTTTCTCTTCCCTTTTTTTCTCCCTCCCCTCTCCTCCCCTCCCCTCCCTTCTCTTGGCTTCAACTCCCTTCTCTTGCCCTCCACTCCCTTCCCTTCCCCTTCCCTTTCTTTTTCCTTTTCAGATGGCATCTTGCTCTGTCACCCAGGCTGGAATACTGGAGTGCAGTGGCATGATCATAGTTTACTGCAGCCTTGAACTGAGCTCAAGCAATCCTTCCACCTCAGCTTCCCAGGTAGCTGGGACTATGGGCACGCACCACCGCCTGGCTAATTTTTAAAATATATATTTTTTTAGAGATGAGGAGCTTGCTATGTTGCTCAGGCTGGTCTTGAACTCCTGAGCTCAAATCATCCTCCCCTGCCGCCCCAGCTTCCCAAGTGATGGATTACAGACATAAGCCACCGTGCCCAGCCCAGCACCTAATGCTTTCTAATTGTCACCTAATTAGGTATATCAGAATTTGGGAATTACAGCAAGTGGTAGAGTGACATCTTTTAGAAGCCATGTAATGGTGTTTAATCTCCTTGTTAAGGATTGGGGAGTGTATCGATCTGATGTTTATGACCTTCCTCCTGGGGTCTATCGAACTGTAAAAATGTATCCAAGAGATGCTGGAACCTGGTTATTTCATTGCCATGTTTTTGAGCACATTGGTGCTGGAATGGAAAGCACTTACACTGTACTTGAAAGAAAAGGTAAGATCCATTGGCTAAATTAATTAGAAGTGATATTTAAACAAATGTAGTATTTCTATAATGATATTATAAATGCATTGTACAGTCACATAATGTGATGTGCCACTCATTCATTCAAAGATTACTATTTGGAGATGACCAAGATACTCTAGTTTTATTTTCTTTGTAAAACTCAGATAACTTTTCATGATCTGATAAAAGATACTCCAGAGTTAAATGTAATTTCCAGATTCACATAAGATATACATATAAGGTATAAACAGACAATTCATAGAAGATCAAAAACAAATCTTTTGAACCTATAAAAATATCCAAACTTGCCAATAATCAAATCACTTCAAAATCACATTTAAGCAACAATACAATACCTTTTTGAGTATATTTTGGCAAATATTTATCTATTTTTAATGACAGCATCAATAACAGTGCAGTGAGATAGGGTGCATTGCATATACTTTGGTGGATGAGTAAATTGGTTCTGCAGATCTTGCAGGAACCTAAATCATGATCCCCATATTTTGACTCAGTATTTCCACCTGGCATTTGATCTCAGAAAATTATCAACAATGAAGAAAACTATGTATCACCACATTATTTTATGCTAATGGAAAACCAAAAACAAGCAAATGATATACGTAATGTGTGTAAAAATTGCAACATATCATCTAAAATATCCAACTTTAAAAATTATGTCTTAAAAATTTTAATCAGTAAATGCTTATAATACCATATTGGGTGGCAAAAAAAGCAGTCTACAAAATAGTATCTGAAATATATATATGAAGACTGAATAGAAATTTAGTGAGATGTTACTGATGACTCTCTCTAGGTAGTGAAATTATTAGTGAGATTTATTAAGAAAATAATAAGAAGATATGTATTAAGAAAGAATAAATCTCACTAATAATCTGTTTCTTCCAAGGTTTCTGTACAGTTTAAATTACTTTCAAAATTAGGAAACCTATTGAACATATATATCATACACTATTTAAAATATACCATGCAGCTCTCAAGTTATGTGAATATTTTCTCTGTGGGGCTCTTTGCAGGGCTGATGGAGCGGAGCCTCTGAAACAGAGAAAGGAGTGTCTGCATGAACAGTTTCTCAGAATCTTCTCTCAATATCAGGACTACGTTTGTCAACAAAACCAAAAACTGATTAGCCACCAATATAATTTTTACCTACAACATCCTATTAATGTCAATAATATCATTATTGATACAATGCTAATAATCATTACCCTTATTCCTATCAGTGTTCATGCACATTCTTAGTAAAAGAGACTTTGGTGTGCTGTCCATGAAATAAATCCCCCACTGCTAACACTCTTTCTTTGGGAAAGTAGATTTTGCATTTCAAAGAATATAAAGTCAAATTTGATTGGATTTATAGGTCATCTGTTCCCACAGAAGGGTGATATTGATGTTGCTATTAACTTAGTAAGTAAACTTTTTGTGGCAAAAGTGATGGTAATCATTTTAAGGATGTTCCTAAGACTAATATATATTTTGTGTTTATTCCTTAAATGTATGCAATCATTTTGGTTTAGTATGTTAACTTAGAACTATATGCTATTATATAATATTATCTATTTTTGAAACTTCCTTTTCTACAGCATAAATATTTGGTATGATATGAATATTGACAAGCTTACAAACCAAGGTAAAGCTGCCAAAGAAGAAAAACTCCAGGGACAAAGGAGTCTGGGAGGAACCAGCTAAAGACTTTCATGACAATGTGCCAGGAAAAGTAGTTTGAAATAAAAGTTTTCTTAGTACGTTTTGTGTAAGAGCTGCTTCTTGTTTTCATAAATTGACCCTGAAGTGGTGTCTGTATTGTCTTGTGAGTGATGTAATAAGGTTTTAACAAATGCAATGGGGGTAGGTAGGAGAGACAAAGAGAGCAAGAGCAAAGTCTTGCTCAGTTATAAAATGTACCAAATGTATGCAACCCAAGACTTTACCCTAGACTGCGACATTTGTAAACCTTTAAAAAAATTAAATTCCCATAGCATGTGTAAGCATTTAAATCAATCTTTGAAATGCAAATCTATATATTATATTGTGCCTTAGGATTGGAAGATGATAGATTACAGAATATATAATTTTCAGTTTTCCAGAACAAAAAAAAAGGGGGGGGGGGGGAGCCGGGGGACTCAAGTTCTGAGCTCATATCTGGCAGTACTAAACAGTTAGGATGTGTTCTATAAGCAACAGAAAACCCAGCTAAGAGAGAATTATCAGTGCTGTTTGTCTTATATAATAAAAAAGTTTGGAGATAAGTGGCTGCTAGGATTGGTTTAGCAATTTTTTAAGACGGAATCTCACTCTGTTGCCCAAGCTGGAGTGCAGTGGCATGATATTGCCTCACTGTAACCTCCACCTCCCTGGTTCAAGCAAGTCTCCTGCCTCAGTCTCCCCAGTAGCTGGGACTACAGGTGTGCACCACCACACCTGGCTAATTTTTGTATTTTTAGTAGAGACAAGGTTTCACCTTTTTGGCCAGGCTGGTCTTGAACTCCTGGCCTCAAGTGATCCACTCGCCTCGGCCTCCCAAAGTGCTGGGATTACAGGCATGAGCCACTGCACCCAGCCTGGTTTAGCAATTTGATGATATGAGGGCCAGTGTCTTTAATTCCCTTGGCCTTTTCCTCATAATTGTTGCCTCACGGTTGCAAAATGGTTGCTGCAGCTCCAGATATTACATCCACATTGAAGGCAGAGAAGATGGAAAAAGGGGGAGCATCAGTCACATCTGAGGAGACACCAGCCAATTTCTGCCTTTGTCTTATTGGTCAAAACCATTATTAGCTGGCTACTCCTAACTGCAGAGGAGACTGGAAAAGAATTCTGTAGCCTCTATCATGAAAGGAATAAGGGAGACTGGGTTAGAAATGTCTTGTGAGTTGGCTAACAGCCTTTTCTTTAGACAATAAGTAAGAATACTTGAAATCAGAGCTTGGTTAAACAAGAGTTCAGGTTTTTACTTTCTAGCTTCTTAGCTGTGTAGGCAGTACATGAAAACCTGGAGTGTAATCAAGCAAATTCTTGATATTATATCATTTCACTCCAAAATACTCCACTATGTATCTCCAGCATAAAATAACTTTTAAAAAGTAATATAGTGGCTGGGTGTGGTGACTCACGTCTGTAACCCCAGCACTTTGGGAGGCCGAGGCAGGCGGATCATGAGGTCCAGAGATGGAGATCATCCTGGCCAACATGGTGAAACCCTCTCTCTACTAAAAATACAAAAATTAGCCAGGCGTAGTGGCACATGGCTGTAGTCCCAGCTACTCGGGAGGCTAAGGCAGGAGAATCACTTGAACCCAGGAGGCAGAGGTTGCAGTGACCTGACATCACACCACTGTACTCCAGCCTGGCAACAGAGCGAGACTCTGTCTCAAAAAAAAAAAAAAAAAAAAAAGTAATATAGTAAAAATGCTATTATAAAATCAGACAAAATTAGCAGTAATACCTCATTATTTGATATTAAAACTATTAAGAACTTATGAAATATGGATGCAAGTAACTCCCTCCATAGAAACATTCAAGTCTGAGATTTTCAAAGGTGCTGATAAAACTAGAGCATTCTTTAAGAAACTGCAAAAGATATTGCCCAAATTTCACCAAGAATGTTTAATTAACTCATTCATTCATTCATTTAAGAACACAGTTCTAAACTTTGACTTATCAGGTGGACGAAGTATGATTTAGTAAATGGAGTTGAATGGAAGGGTAGTAATCTGTATGAATTCTTAACAGAAGAGATTCAAAGACTAAGAATGTGTCAATGGAATGTGTCACCTGCACAGCTGTTGGAAGGTGCTCTTATTCTAATAATGAGTACCCAGTATTTAGACAGAAATCATGTTAATTTTTAAAATGTCAAAGAAAAAAGAAAAGAAGCATGCTTTAAGAGTATCTTCCCTTTTGTGAACGAGATCATGTCCTCTGCAGGGACATGGATGGAGCTGGAAGCCATTATCCTCAGCAAACTAACGCAGGAGTAGAAAAGCAAACACTGCATGCTCTCACTTATAAGTGGGAGCTGAACAATGAGAACACATGGGCACAGGGAGGGGAACATCACACACTGGGGCCTGTCGGGGGGTGGGGTAAGGGGGAGGGTGAACATTGGGAAAAATAGCTAATGAATGCGGGCTTAATACCTAGATGATGGATTGAAAGGTGCAGCAAACCACCATGACACACATTTACCTATGTAACAAACCTGCACATCCTGCAAATGTACTCCAGAACTTAAAATACAAATTAAAATTAATTTACAAAATTAATTTCTAAAAAATACCTACCCTTTTGCTCAAACTCTATACTTGGGAAGGAAACTGTGTTCCATAATACAATTTTCTGAGTGAATCTATAAACAAGGACGGAATGCCTCCAAATTGAAAAAAAAACAATAATATAAATGATATAAATTATGGCTATTATGCTTTATTATACTTTAATTTTACATGAACTATTTAACTTTATTAATGAATAATGATTTACTCTCCAAGCTATTCACAATCAATCAGCACCTTTAAACCCAGTCACCTTTAAGTAAACTGACAAAACGAAGGTTTGGAATCTACCATGTGACAACCCCAACCCAGGCAAACTCCTTCTAGAGTGCAGACAGACTGGGAAGCCCGGCCTGGAGCTACTCCGGTGCTTTCCCACATGGCCCTCTATAGTGTGCTGTGTCTTCTGCTTCCAGGGGAGCCATGACTAGCAGTAAGCTTTTCTCTCAATGGCATTGGCCTCTCAGAATTGTCACTCAGTCACCTTTTGTAAATTAAGACCCGGACACAAATCAGTGTTAAGAGCTATGCAGTGTATAGAACCCTCACATGGGGTCAAAGCAAGAGAAAATGGGCCAGGGGTGTTATGAGAGGAGAGCGTTTCAAGAAAGTCATGCATCAAATTTCTGTGTAGTCAAAGTAGTGAATGAAGTTATTCCTTTAAAAAGGGTTGTTCTTCAATCTTTTTAAAAATTATATTATTGTGGTTCTATTTCATTTTTGATAAATCACATGCTTTGATTTCTATAACAGTCAAGGTAGTGAGAGAACAAGAATGAAGGATTCAGCTACATTCTTATGCTGTTTTTTTAAAGTCTCTTTCCCATAATACTACTGTATGTTAAGGCTTTCTGTATGTTAGAGTCTGGGCTTTCTCTCTTCCCTTGCCTGGGACCATTTTACATCCCAGGAGCTGACGACTAGGGCCATGACCCCATTAATGTGCAGCCAAAGGGGGATGGTGACATGACTGAAGACCCATCTGACAGATCATTTCCAAAATAGTCATGACCTGACCGATAGGGGAGAATAGTATCAGCAATGCTCACACTGTGCTAGGGCAAGTCAGTGTACTCATTAGCAAAGTCTGTACGTGACCACACTCACCTCTAAAATTCCAGAGTTACACAATTTCCTGTGAAAAAGAAAGCAGCATGGTTATCTGTCCAATTGGTCATAGTCAGAATGACCTGCTATTTTGTACTTAGAGTCTCCAGCTGTCACAAAGTGAAGGACAGTTCTCGATGGTTTCCTAATCATTCTGTTGGCATGGAGTAGAGGTTAAGAGCCAGTTCTCAAGGGTCAGCAAAAAATGGAACTAGAAGGTATATACAGGAATAGTGGCAGTAAAGAGAGACTGTATCCTGCCAGACAGAAATAAACAGAGGGGATATTCTCTAAAGAAGGCAGCTTCCTTGACGTTAGCCATCCACAGTCTCAGAATCGTGATTGCCAAATGCAGATAAGATTCACCCAGTCCAGAAATCCTTAAGATGACAAAAAAAAAAAAAAAAGAAAATGTGGAAAATGATTAAAACTTCTGTTACATAACTGTACTCAGGTTACTAAGCTGTTAACTTAGACATATACTTGTTGTTTATAACAAAGATATACCCTGGGATTCTGAGGTAAAAACCTTTTGACAAACACAGCGAAGAGGACAGGCTGTTTCGCAGTCTAGATTCCTCTTTCTTGCAACGCTGTAAGTTTCCTAGGCTGCTTCTGGTGCCCCTCTGCTCCTTCTTGTCTCACCCCAGTCTGTGCTGTTGTGGTGCATTTCTTGAGTGCAGAAAACTCTCAACTGCAACATTATACAAATTTCATTTTAAAGTACTATCTCTGGAATCACTGTAATGAAGTTTGCAGTGCAAAATGACTCTGCTAATGGCTGAGCTTAATAGCTCCCAGGGGCTTCTCCCTCCTATTTTTATTTATTTATTTATTTATTTATTTATTATTTGTTTATTCTTTTGAGACAAAGTCTTGTTCTGGCGCCCAGACTAGAGTGCAGTGGCGTGATCTAGGCTCACCACAAGTTCCGCCTTCCGGGTTCACACCATTCTCCTGCCTCAGCCTTCGGAGTAGCTGGCACTACAGGCGCCCACCACCATGCCCAGCTATGTTTTTTTCCTTGGTATTTTTAGTAGAGACGGGGTTTCACCGTGTTAGCTAGGATGGTCTCCATCTCCTGATCTCGTGATCTGCCTGCCTCGGCCTCCCAAAGTGCTTGGATTAGAGGCATGAGCCACCGCGCCCGGCCCCTCTCCCTCCTGTTTAAATAGTCCTAAGGCTCAGAGAATTCTCCCCACTTCCTGTCACATGCCCTTTGATGACAAGAGTAATTACCACAAAACAGAACAGAAATATGGACTGCATGACCTTTTTTGCGTTACACCATTAAACGTTCACAAGGGCACTGGTCACAGTGTTACTGTTTAACCATTTCATTTCACCACCAATATGAGGGGTGTGCTATGCATACATTCTGGAACCTTCAACAACTATTTGAACAGGTTTGTTTGTTGGATGGTTGGCTGGTACAATTTGCTGAAACAAGTGACTTTGGGCATGGTTACTGTGCTCTGATCAACATCTTTCCATCCACAGGATTGGGGTGGAGTTTGCGCACTGAGTGAAAAATGAAACGCAAATGGCTGGGACAGTTGCTGGTTCACATCGTGGCTTCATGCCAATTAGAAAAAACACTGCCCCCTTACCAATGCTCTGGGGAGGATAAACGGCTGAAAGATGCCCCCTATCTGTGTGAACCATTAGGGGAAAAGCAGCTTCTTGCAAGGCACAGGGTTTGGCCAAGGGCAGACCTTGGCCGGGGTTGACATCTGGGCAAGATTTTAATCCCTCGTCAGTCCTCTCAGTGGACATGACGGCACAATTATTCAAGGCAGTCCTAGAAGGAGGTCTTGGGGCATCCTGGGCAACATGATTCAGTTTTCTGTATCATGCCATTTAGTTAAGGTTATTACCAGCTGGTGAGAGAAGCTCCTCCACCGCCTGCTTTAACATGGGTCATTTCAATTAACCTGAGATTTTCAGATGAGGAAACTGAGGCTGAGCTGAAGTATCTTACTGGAGGTCATGTGGTAGCATCAGATTTTGATCTTTACCCTGCTGTTTTCCCTAGCACTCCTTATTCTCCTTCTTTGATTTATTTTTCTCCATAGCACTTACCACTAATATTGTGTATTTCATTTTCCATTTTCATATTGTCAGTTTCCCCCAAGTAGAATGTAAGTTCCATGATGGTAGGTGTTTTATTCACTGGCTGTATTCCCAATGACTGGAACAGAACTTGGCACACGATGAGGCTCATTCAGTAATATTTTCTAAATGAATGAATTTTTCAAATATCAGGATGCTTTCTTCTATACCAATCTATTTCAACAAGTGACCTTTAGCAAATACACAATATTTTGAGGTATTTGAGAGAAAAAAAATTATACTAACACAGTGTCAACTGTTATCAGGATTTTCTTCAGCTAAAAAAGCCACTTCATACTTTTAGACATATACTTCCTGACTAAAAACAGGGTTTTTAAAAAAAGCCTTCCACCTTAAAATTCATGTCCACTTCAAAGAGAGAAATCTCACTCTTATATAATAAACTGGGGTACTTTCTATTTACTAAGACTAATCTTTGCTTCTGAAGACAGGTTTAGTTATGGTTGGTTTATTTGATGATTAAAATAAAGTTATTAGCCCCTGTTAGGCTCTGCTAGTTATTTGCATATAGCAATACAGAATGATGTGGTAAAGTTTTTATGCAGATGTGGTCCAAGTTCATAAAATAGATACATTCTTCTAAATTAAATTCTTATTTTTGTTTACTTAAATTTGGCATGCTAGATATCATGTTCCATATCATAAAGCTGCAATTAATCACTTGTTAGACTTTTAGAAATAGTCATGAACCACATAATAATGTTTCAGTGTATGACAAACTGCCTATGTGATGGTGGTCCCATAAGATTATAATAATGTATTTTTACTGTACCTTTTCTATGTTTATATATGTACAGATACACAAATATAATTGTGTTACAATTGTCTACAGCATTCAGCATAGTTATATACTGTACAGGTTTGTAGCCTAGGAGCAATAGGTTATACCATATAGCCTAGATGTATAGTAGGCTGTATCATCTAAGTTCATGTAAGTACATCTATGATAGTCACACGGTGAAAAACGAGCCTAACAATGCATTTCTCAGAACATATCCCTGTCATTAAGAACGACTGTAGTAAAAAGCTACATGTTCTTGATTCATTTTACATAATCCTTATCCTGATTTACTAAAAGTGCACTGTTTGCAGGACTCTGTGCTGTGACATATTGTCAGAGGAACAAAGGGAGCATTCAGACATGTTGTCTGCCCTCCTGGAATTTACACAATGAATGGAAAAAGGCGCAGAGTTATGCACACTCTAATGTCTCCAACAATAACTGTTGACTTTTTATTTTCAGTCAGAGAAGCCTGGCAACCAAGAAGTGGTTTTTTGGTGGTTTACGAGAACTTAACTGAATTGGAAAATATTTGCTTTAATGAAACAATTTACTCTTGTGCAACACTAAATTGTGTCAATCAAGCAAATAAGGAAGAAAGTCTTATTTATAAAATTGCCTGCTCCTGATTTTACTTCATTGCTTCTCAGGCTCCAAGAAGGGGAAAAAAATGAAGATTTTGATACTTGGTATTTTTCTGTTTTTATATAGTACCCCGGCCTGGGCGAAAGAAAAGCATTATTACATTGGAATTATTGAAACAACTTGGGATTATGCCTCTGACCATGGGGAAAAGAAACTTATTTCTGTTGACACGTAAGTCACTATTTTTATTGTTTATAGACCAAAATTTTAAATTATTTTTAAAGAATAGAGCCAATAAGATGAAATATTTTTAAAATATCTTATATACAGAAACTGCAAAATGTGGGCTTGAAACCCAGGACACTTGAATCAATCTCCCTTATACTCCTGTATATTTTTTATTTGGGGGACTACTCTGCTTTCCTGTTGTTCCTGGGATCTGTGTTCACCTCTTATTACCTCCCATGGTCATTACTCCATCTCTGATTAGGATTCTGTCTTTTTGTCTGTTTATGCAGAAGTTCTTTAATTTAAACAATTACTGTATAAAATGTTATGTTTATTACACCATTTAATGGTTATTCTTGATAGAGATAAATTTTTTTATATCTTTCAAAACATCACTTATAGAAATAAAATATGATTTTAGCAAATATGATTCTGCCTGATATTTATTGAGAGACTCCAGACAGTTAAGTAGGTTAATCTTTGACAGCATCAGACTCCTAATTTGTAAAATGAGGATAATAAGCATAGCTCATAAGGTTACTTAAAGAGTGAGTGCATGTAAAACCCTTAGTACAATGCTTGGCACATATATGCATAAAAAATGTCAGGCACTTATTAGGATGGTCCTCAAAAAGCTCCATGTAACTTAAATGTCTTCATATTTCAGTTGGAAAATCCCCTTATTGAAAGCAATATTCACTACACAGAAAAACAAAAAATGTTTAGTTCTCCTTGAAGTTTTTTGTACAGTAGTTAATCTATACCGAGGTCTTCACTTTTAGTAATGCTAATTAAACATTAACCACCAAATGGGAACTTGGAATTCAAAATCAATATTCACTACATTAAAATGTATTTCAGTGGTAATAAAACACAAACAAGCCTAATGACCACCAGCTGCTAAGATTATATCTTTAAAAAATAACTAAATAAGGATGCCAAAGTTTGTAATTATTGAATGTTATTGATGAGTATATACTATTCTCTTTAAATGTTATGTAAAGTTGAAATTTTTCACCATAAAAATAAATACATAACTGATAATAATATCCAATTATTATATTATGAAGTTAATAATATACAGTAAGGAAAGTTTCTGACCTGAAGATAAGTGGTTGTAAATAAAACTAATACATCTTGTAATTATTTCTTTTTTTAACCTGTTTTAAGATGGTATTATCTTCTAAAGAATATGACATGTTTTTACAGCTTCACCAAAAACATTATTTTGCATGGATTCAGTATTTTCTTGATTAAATATAATATAAATTATACAAGATTTTTATTTCCAAGGAAAAAGTCAGACACATTAAAAAAATAAAAATACTATCCTTTTCTATGCCCCCACTCACCACTACTCTGTCATTGTTCATGATCAAAAATCAAATCAGCTTTATCAGGCATAAACTAAATGCAAGACATTGCCCTGACTATGCTTCAATTTAAAAAAAAAAAAGTCTTTCATTCTAAAAATCAGGGAGTAGAAGAGTGAAGGAGTTTATTTAGAATTTGGTGAATGGGGGCAGAAGAAATTCCTTTGTTTTTAATTACTCCCATGGCCTGTCTGTGCCAGGGAAGCTATCCAATGAGTACAAGCTTGTTTACCCCATTGTGACTATATTAGTCTCTTCTTATGCTGCTAATAGAGACATCCTCAAGACTGGGTAATTTATATAAAAAAAGAGGTTTAATATACTCACAGTTCCACATGACTGAGGAGGCCTCACAATCATGGTGGAAGACAAAGGAGGAACAAAGGCATGTCTCACATTGCAAACTTTCCCACACCTTCCTGTCTTCTGAGCCCTCCAAGCCCCTAGGAAGTTCCAAACTTTCCCACATTTTGCTATCTTCTTCTGAGCCCTCCAAACTATTGCAGCCTCTGCCTGCTACCCAATTCCAAAGTCATTTTCACATTTTTAGGTACCTTTACAGTAGTCCCCCACTCCAAGTACCAATTTACTGTATTTGTCTGTTCTTACACTGCTAATAAAGACACACTCAAGACTGGGTAATTTATAAAGAAAAAGACGCTTAATGGACTCACAGTTCCGCATGGCTGGGAAGGCCTCACAGTCATGGCAGAAGGCAAAGGAGGAGCAAAGGCACATCTTACATGGCAGCAGGCAAGAGAGAGCTTGTGCAGGGGAACTCTCATTTATAAAACCATCAGATCTCATGAGACTTATTCACTATCATGAGAACAGTATGGGGGAAACCACATCCATGATTCAATTATCTCCACCTGGCCCCACCCTTGACATGTGCGGATTATTACAATTCAAGTTGAGATTTGGGCGGGGACACTGCCAAACCATATCAGTTACTTAAAAAGTATACTTAATAGCGATACTTTAGGATCCTTAAAAGGAAAAATGGAGCATCTTCTAGTTGCAAAGTCCACCTCTCTTTTTGTCATTGTCCTGTGACTTTAACATCTCCCTTGGCTTCAACAATATGCTACAGTTGTGCAAACTCTAGGTGGGACTGCTTGCTCTGTGATTTTTCCCCCCATATATCTGACCAGTGAATTTTGAATACAACTTCAGCAATTTTGCCAATACTATGCTAAACTTTTTGCATAGATGTGTGCAGATAGCAACCTTTTGGTCCCTTCTTTGTCCCAGATTTGCAGCATGTTTAGCCCAGTCAGTGAAGGATGATGGAGTATCACAAGACATGGTTGGCACTCCTTATTGTGTGATGACTACAAAGGAGTGGAAATAAATGGGCTGAAGAATAAGATGTGAAAGAGTGCAATATAAGTTTTAGGTAAAGAATCGAGTTTAAGCTGAATGTTGATCTTCAAGGTCTTGGATGATGAACAGGAAAATATGCATTGAGATGACAGGAACTAGTGTTTGGTCACTAGTACCTAGAATATAGAAGACACTAAATAAACATTTCTGAATAAGTTTAAATCAGTAAGTAAAAGATACATAGGAAGATAGGAGAAATCATAAACCATATTGTAAAAACTTTTCCTTGCTCCTCATGTAGAGTGATTCATGCTATAGAACAAATCAGGCAACAGAATAAAATAGAAAAGTCACCTTAGGGGATTATATGCAGGGTTAGTGCAACTGAAAACACTGACAGATATTAAAAGACAAAAATGTATAGGTTTGGGGGGGACTAAAAACATAGAGTTTACTTCTCTGGTATTAATGCCAATGATATTTATTTCTAAAAGAGTGAAGTGGAAAATAATTTCCTTATACTCAATACTGCCATTTACTTGGGTTGGTGCCTTATCTGTCACTTCAACACATCAATAAATATTTAAAGACTTTATAAGATATAATTCCGGATCCTAAGTTATATATATTCAATTAAAAACAAATGACATACATATAAAAACAATTAGTAAACACAGTAGTGTGTTTTGGGCCCATAGTAGGCATTAGTTAATTATTTACTGAATTAATTGACTATATAATAGCCAAGATTATAATAATTCTGATATCTTCAGATTACTTTTTTTTCTGATGACCTCTAGGAAGCTGGAAATAAGTCAAAAAAATTTTAAGCATAAGAACAGCCATCACAAAACTCTTTTACACTTGACTTCATAGGCTCTCACTCAGGCTTGGAGACTTTCTTAACATAGAGTTCTTACAAACATTATTACCGGGTTTTTCATTCCATTGTAGGTTTCCAAAACAAATGGTACAGTGAAGATGTCACTATAAGCAGGCCTAATGACCAAGAAGAAATAACAGCTCAAATCCTGACCAAAAAACTAGACAACAAAGAACATTCCACCCTATAGTAATCATAATTCCTATAATTATGATCTTGAGTGATCAGGATGTAATATGTATTCAGTAAGTGTTCATTTCACTATTAGTATCCAAAAAGTTGCTTTTTTCCCATTATATCCCCTGTTTTGGAAAACAAAGAAGCAAATAAAATATTTTTAAAGAAAAAACTTGCTTTAGGCATTGATTTTACCCCTATTAAAAGACAAACTTGGACATATTAAAAGTTTAACAAGTTTATTCAAGCATTCAGCCACATCAGTTGGGTGCCCTAGGACCACAAGCAGTTCAATCAGTGCTCCTCCAGGCAGGGAGGAAACTTTTTTTTTTTTTTTTTGAGACGGAGTCTCGTTCTGTCGCCCAGGCTGGAGCGCAGTGGCGCGATCTCGGCTCACTGCAAGCTCCGCCTCCCAGGTTCACGCCATTCTCCTGCCTCAGCCTCCCCAGTAGCTGGGACTACAGGCGCCTGCCACCACGCCCCGCTAATTTTTTGTACTTTTAGTAGAGACAGGGTTTCACCGTGTTAGCCAGGATGGTCTCGATCTCCTGACCTCATGATCTGCCCGTCTCGGCCTCCCAAAGTGCTGGGATTACAGGCGTGAGCCACCGCACCCAGCCAGGAAAGTTTTATAACATATTCTCAGCCTAAGAAATAGATATTAGACTGGTTAAAGTGGAGACTCCCTAGTTAGATGTTAGTTGGTGACTTCTGGTTGGTAAAGTCTCTAGTTACAGATTAGAAGTTTCATTTTACTGTTTACTACACTGAATTGGGTTTTGGTTTGCTTAGGTAGGAACCCAAAGCACTGACACTGTCTCAGCCTAATGGTCTCCCAATTTATGACCATTCCTTCAAAAATGATTTTAAATATTTAAATGATTCTTAAATAGGTACAATTACTAGCTAAAATTATCTGGAAAATTTAGTTTAAATGACTCATTCTCCAAGGTTGCCAAATAAAAAATAGCAAGCAATAGGGCTGGGCATGGTGGTTCACACCTGTAATCCCAGAACTTTGGAAGGCCAAGGCGGGTGGATCACAAGGTCAGGAGTTCGAGACCAGCCTGGCCAACATGGTGAAACCCTGTCTCTACTAAAAATACAAAAATTAGCTGTGTGTGGTGGCTTATGCCTGTAGTCCCAGCTACTTGGGAGGCCGAGGCAGGAAAGTTGCTTGAACCCAGGAGGTGGAGGTTGCAGTGAGCCAAGATCACGCCATTACACTCTAGCCTGGGCGACAGAGCAAGAGCCCATCTCAAAAAAAAAAAAGCAAGCAATCGCTAGTGCAGTACAAACACTTCACACAAGACAGCTTGTGTGGAAGAGCTAATTAAGTGACTTACATTTCCCACTTACCAAACTCCATTTATCATCAAGTTTCTATTTCTCCTGAGAACACAGACAAAAGAAAATTCATCACTAGGTACTGCATTCGTGCTGTGCCAGTGGAGGAAGGCTAGTTAGAACTGGCAAATCACTTGAATTTGTGTTCTATACACCTAGGTTGAGTCTCTGCCATATTCTTGCAGTAGTTAATTTTTGACTGTTTTCCTTATGATTCTTGTTTATGGCAGGCAGCATTTCCAAAGTGGTTCCAGGAAGAAATCCTATCCTAAATCTCTAGAACCTGTGAACAGGATGAGACATCACCATCATGATTTATGTTTTAGTCAGTGAGATTATCTGGAGAGTCCACACACTGGAGCTGACTCGAAGATGAAAGGGGCCATCTAGGAGGGCATACAGGTCACCTTAAGAAACTGGGAGAGGCTCCTGGCCCATAGCCAGCAAGCAAACAGGAATTTTAATTCTATGACCCCATTGAACTGAATTCTGGCAATAACCCAAATGAGCTAGGCAGATTTCTCCACAGAGCCTCAGATAAGTACTCAGCCCAGCAGCCTCTTGATTTCAGCTTGGTGATGCCCGAGGCAGTGAACCCAGCCACGCCATGCCAGACTTCTGACCCACAGAATAGTGAGATTATAAATGGGTGTTGTTTCAACCTACTTTGTGATAATTTGTTATGCAGCAATAAAAAACTAATATATTATGTCTCAATTAATGAAGTCAAAAATCCAGGAAGTTTTCACCTATTTAATACCCGAGTTTCGGGAACCATGTCTAAGCATAAACCAAGAGTGAATTCTAAATTTATGGGAGGGAATAGCATTATTAATATCTTACTAAAGCAATACTAAAAATAATTATCCTACTATTAAAAACGCATTTCTGGGTCTAAGACTACCAGAAATTATAGGAGCGGGCTTTTCTTTTTTAAAGTAAGGGGCTAAAAAGAGGGAATGTGATTGATTACTTGAAGGGAGATATGTCTATAGTAATGAGTAGAAAGGAACATATTACAATTGTCAACAGGAAGAACTACAATTAAATGTGAATTATTTGGTTCAAAGAACAGCTATAATAGATTCTTGTGGCTGAATATCTGACTGGCAAACTTCCCGCAAGCTTCCAGTAACTGACCCTTTGTCCCCAAGCTGTGCTGTCGAAATTAAATAGAGAGCCTCTAATGACCTTTTAATGTTTATTTGGAGACAAAGCATAAACAAATAGACTTCTCCCAAAGTGTTACACAGTGTAAAATATTTTCCAATTTGGTTAAGACAGTTTTTTTCACAATAAAAGGCAAGATGCAAAAAGCAGTTTGCATATTGCAATATGTATAAAAGGAATTTCAAATGTTAAAATGCCTAGACATGTTGTACCTTCAGATCAATAATTTTAAAAGCAATTTTAACCCCCCAAAAAAATTTGCTTAGAAAAATTAGTTACAAAGCCTAGGCAATGTAGGTCTTGGTCTTGGTCTTAGGTATTGGTTTATGGCAATGTTCTTCCTATTTTAGGAAATGATTAATACAGGAGCATTTCAATGTAATAAAAGCATTTTGACAAAGTCTGCTATAGTTTATCAAAATAGGACGTGATGTATGCCAAAGTGTGTTTATATTCAGAAAACATAAATACACATTTTATTTAAATGAAGCCTTAAGAATTTGAGGGTTAACTTTTAACTTTGACCTACGTAAGATGTGTACCAATAGGACATGGTAAAGCACGGAGTAAAGTCTCCAAATATTATCAAATTCATCTCTCAGAAATAAAAGTGTGTTCAGACTCTTAAGAAAGTTTACCCTGGGGCTCAGACAAGTCTCTGTGAGATTGATTGGTCCAGGGTTCTGGTGGGACCAGAGTGGAATTGTACCTTTGTACTGTAGACTTTGCAGCTGCAGTTGTGTACCTAACTGAAATTGCACTCTTGTTGTCCTCTTATCAGTCATATGGAGTGAATGACTCTCTGCTTTTAATCTCAGTGGTCTTTGATGCAACAATTTTGCTGTTATTAAGGCATATATTTATTAAGACTCTTTCTGCGCGTTCCTTGCTATGGGTTTAGGGACAGAGTTCACACCAGTGTCTTGCCCTTTTCCCATGCCTACCTGTGTCCATGAAGTCTCTCCCAATCTTTTCCTGTTTTGCTTTAACAAATTGGGAAATGGCAACAAACAACTAGAAGGTGAAAACAAATAGGAAAAATGAGGGTATACCCACAGTTTTAATGCTCCACACAGGCTGCAAATAAGGACACTTTATTTTTCTAACTTCTAGCTTAGCCCTCCCACCAGGGTGGGGGATGGGCAGGGAAACATCATCTGAGTCATTTTTTTAGTGAATAATTTTATCTTCTTTGGGAATTCGGGTTTATACAATTCAGGGAAATTGGCATTCCCAATGTATTGGTATATGGTAGTGACTAGGAGGAAACGCTCATCATAGAAACTCCTTGATCAATCCAGAGAATGGTGGCTCTTATTTCCAACACCTGCTCACTCTGCCCCAACTCAGCCACCAGGACCATTGCCAAGTGGCTATGCTACCTGGCCCCAGCACTCAGGCTTAATCTACATAGTCACCACTGCAGAGGTCCTGCCACCACCAGGTATGACCTGGAAACAGAGCTTTCTACCTTTCTGCCTCATGGTATCAGAAATCCCACTGCCTCTGGGACTGGGCAGCTCTCTTAACCTTCAACCTTAGAGCCTCTTCAACACAGGTTACCCAGGGGCCCAGAGCAGCCTATCTCATCAAAAGACACCAGTGTGTTGGTTAATAATGCAGATGCCTGGGCCCTGCCCCAGACCCACAGAATCAGAATCAGTGGAGTTGTGCCCCAGGAGTTTCCACTTCACTAAGTTCATCAGTAGATTCCTGTGCATTTCAAACTTAAGAAACACCAGGCCTTAGACTTTTGAAAAACCACATCTTTAAATTCTGTAGCAGTGAAAGTCCAGAGCTCTTGCACAAGCTCTGCTCTTGTCTTGAAGAAGGGAAAGAAAAATATATCTCACTTTTACCAATGAGCTTACAACTAAGAAAACAAGACAAAATTTGTTCCTCGGTCAGGTTACTCAGCCCCACAAATGTTGAATAGAAATTGGTAAAGTACCAAAGATCACTAAGATGAAAGAAGGCAACACACACACACACACACCCCCACACACCCACAATGATGAGCAGTTTTTATTCAAATGGAAGAGCCTTGGTTGTGGAGGGGCTTGCCAAAGGGCAGAATCTAAGTGGGTCCTGCCAAATGGCTACATGATATTGCCCATGTATAGATCCCACTGGCCTATATACAGCCTTCAGTTGGATAACACAAGAAATCAGTTCAAACCAAATTTACTTTCTTTCCATCTTTTCTTTTCCAGATTGCTATTTTCTTCACTGATATTTTTAAGGAAGTTTTAAGCAACTATTAATGGGCACTCACTAGAATACAAACATTCAATGTTAAGTATCTGCACTAGTGAGGGATTAAAAAACACAGGGATTATTTAAATTCAAAAGTAATTTAAAAACCACACACATTGCATGCATCAACAACTCTAGCTTTGATTTAGTGCTGTTAAAAGAAATTAAAAAGAATTAATTTAGCTTTATTAATCTTACTTTAAGGAAAAAAATATAAATACACACACACACAAACTTTGAGGTCTCAAATATCCAGATTGATTAGTTATAAACTCAAATTTTTCCAGTAGCTAAGAGAGGTATAAGTCAAAAAATGTCTTAATTAACTGCTTTATTTTAATATTTCAGCTTAAGTTTGTATTCTATTCCATTACATAATATGTCTGTGTTTTAGTATAAAAATCATGGAGTGAATACTTCAGTAAGATGCACTATATTTCTATGACGCCTTCACAGACAGTTCTCTGACATATATCTGATAAGGAAGCCTCACATAATTAAAATAACAGGGCTAACGGCCAGCCCTCCACTTCAATTTTGGAGGCATCCCTACAACAGGCAAACATTCAATGTGATGTGGTCATTAATTTCTCTAATTATAATGTTATTAAATTATAATGATAATGTCATCCCTAGAAATAATGGCTTCTGATAGAGTTGTCTTCTTTCTCTTTGCAGGGAACATTCCAATATCTATCTTCAAAATGGCCCAGATAGAATTGGGAGACTATATAAGAAGGCCCTTTATCTTCAGTACACAGATGAAACCTTTAGGACGACTGTAGAAAAACCAGTCTGGCTTGGGTTTTTAGGCCCTATTATCAAAGCTGAAACTGGAGATAAAGTTTATGTACACTTAAAAAACTTTGCCTCTAGGCCCTACACCTTTCATTCACATGGAATAACTTACTATAAGGAACATGAGGGTAAGTTCAGCTCATGCAGCTGGAATTTCCTCTTACTTTTCAGTAGAAGTGCCTTTTAGCTTCTAAAATCATGGACTTCTCTCCTGGATAAGACCTATAACTGCCATTCAGTTCTTAACTATTTTATTTTATTTTATTTTATTTCATTATTTTATTTTATTTTGTTTTATTTTATTTTATTTTATTTTATTTTATTTTATTTTATTTTATTTTATTTATTTGAGATGGAGTCTCGCTCTGTCGCCCAGGCTGGAGTGCAGTGGTTTGATCTCAGCTCACGGCAAGCTCTGAGTCCGGAGTTGATCTCCGGACTCCGCCCAATCCTTTCTGGCCAAATAGTCAGTATAAGAGAAATGGACAATGTGCTTTAGAGCCTAGAAGAGGCAAAAATCCAGAGGGAAGAGAAAGAAGGACTCAAGATGTGAATTGCCTTATCTCTGAAGTTCCTACATGTAAACATACTGTGGCTGTTGTTACCTCCTATCCTAACTTTAGATAAACTCTGCCCCAGCTAAGGTGGCATAAGTAGTCTCATATGTCAGTCAAATTGTACATGTGCCTGGATGACTCTAGTCACATATGAGACACAATTAACTGAAAAAGTCATTTGAATGTAGGACTTGGAAAACTTGAAAATATTACCTGAAAAACAAAGATAAGGTTTGGTGCCAGTGATCTTATTCTTAGTCCTTAACAATGATGGTAAAAAAGGTGGTATTTTGTAGTGATGAAAAGCAAGGTGAAATTAATAGACCAAGGTCTGAGCCCCAGCCTTACCTTTTACTGGTTGAGTGACCTTGGACAAATTGCTAAAATTCTTTCAGCTTCAGTTTCCTCACCTATAAAATAAAGACAATGAGAATACATAGTAATACTCAATAAATATCAGCTGTTGTCATAAGCAAAAATGCTGAAGTCATGCTACAGTTCATTGAAATTATAATGATCAAGTAGGGAAATTAATTTAAAATTAGATTTCATTCATTATTTGTTGTCTTTTTTAAAGAGATATTGTTTTAGAAGGTGAATGTGTTGACTTTTCTTGTTGTTGTTGTTGTTTAGGGATAATTACATTCATAGCATAAAAGGCTGACTGTCATCCTATTTCTTTTTAATACTTTCATGGTTTATTAGGGAATTACCATTCATTTTAAAGTTATGGTAATGGTACTGTGATTTTATTAAAAGAAAAAAAGAGTTCCTATCTTTTAGAGATACGTACTCCAGTATTTATGAATGGAATATGATGTCTGAGATTTGCTTTAAAATAATTTGATGATACTGGGGATAAGAATATGTGGGGGTACAGATGAAACAAGGTTGGCCTTGAGTCGATCACTGTTAAAGCTGGTTTGATGAGTACACGGAGGTTCAGCATTTTCTTCTCTCAACTTTTGTGTATGTTTGGAAATTTCCAAAATTAAGAGTAGAAATTTTTTTAATTTTATGGTTAATTCATGGGCAAAATTCTGAGATCACATAAGAAGTTTTGAATTTAGAAGAGGGTAGCCATTTTTCTCAGACTTCCATACCATGACCCGAGTTCTTTACATTGCAAACAAAAAGTCATTTTGCTTTCTGAAAACCCAGTCAGATACTAAAAAAAATTAAAAATGTCTGTGAAGCTTCTAAACACCCTAGCCATTAGCCTTTCATTTTCCTGTGTCCAAATAGGATATCACATCCCCAAGGATCACACAGTAGATGCTTAATAAATGTTTGCTGAATGAATTAATGGACTATCTGTTCTCTCATTTAAGTTCAAACACATTCACTTTGTACCTTCATTGCATGTTGCTTCCTAGGGGCCATCTACCCTGATAACACCACAGATTTTCAAAAAGCAGATGACAAAGTATATCCAGGACAGCAGTATACATACTTGTTGCTTGCCACCGAAGAACAAAGTCCTGGTGAAGGAGATAGCAATTGTGTGACTAGGATTTACCATTCCCACATTGATGCTCCAAAAGATATTGCCTCAGGACTCATCGGACCTTTAATAATCTGTAAAAAAGGTACATCTTTTTTACATTATTTTTTACATTATTAAAGACAGGGGCAGGGCAGTTTGTCTTTTAAAAATAAGTCAAGTCTTCTGTGATGAGATTGAGTAGGTAAGGTAGAGAGGTGGTGACTTGAAAAAAAGGCAGGGAAGAGCCAGGCAGGACTAGCAGAAGAAGGGATAAATGGAACAAGCATTCATATGAGAAAAATGCCAATGAAGCTAAGCTGAAAGAAATATATTCTCCCAGGGATCAGTTTGCTGTATCTAACTTCCAACAGTGGTGCTGAAGAGACATATGACTTTACCAAACGTGACTACCAAAAAGGCACTTCACGGTGATAGATCTGTAGTTACTCATACTATATTGGTAAACATAATATCATAGTATTTATTTCTAACATCATGAAAAAGACAACGTAGCTCGAGAGCCTGAAATACAATCCTAACTTGAACAATAGTTACCTATAAAGACTTGTCTCAGTTTGTGGCTATATGCACCACAAAACAGACACACAAGTTTGAATTCCAATCTTCCCATTTGCCAAAAAGCATTTAATAGTTATGGGGTCAGCGGATATCCAGATATAGGAATGTCTTCCAAGCACCAGATACTGATCATAAAAATTCCCTGAGTGTTTCTATGTCTGTAAAACAGAAGTGACTGGTCCAGACTTGTGATTTATTAGAAAAAAATAAATATTAAAATTTTTTAAAACTACAAATCACCTGAAAACATAAGTCAAAATACATGCTAAAAGTTTAATCTTACTAAAATAGTAATTTTAACTCCAGATTCTCTAGATAAAGAAAAAGAAAAAAATATTGACCGAGAATTTGTGGTGATGTTTTCTGTGGTGGATGAAAATTTCAGCTGGTACCTAGAAGACAACATTCAAGCCTACTGCTTAGAACCAGAGAAAGTTGACAAAGACAACGAAGACTTCCAGGAGAGTAACAGAATGCATTGTAAGATTATAGAAGACATGTTAACTTTACTTTTTTCCCCCTTAATCCATTAATCCTGCTAAGCTTATTCCCTCATATAAGTAAGTACTGCGTGTCTAGTCTGTGGTCCTTATAACAAAGCATATTGGATGTGCAATTTGATATTCAGCCAAGTAAATCAAAATAAAAATTCTAAGCCAGGTAAAGCCAGATGCACCAAACTTGTTTCCCAAACTGGTAAGGATAAAACATCAATTATGGTTTAATGCATATGTATGTGACATTAATATATTTATTTATCCACTAGACTCATTCTAAAAATTATTTGAGGCAGTTCCAAATTATTGAACTAAATACTTAAAACTATATTATATTTTAAAGCATCTAACTATATTTAAGAAAATAGTTCAAACCACGAGTTCTGAAAGGTATTCATTCTACATACTATGTTGCCCTCACTGGGCCCCCTAGTCTGCATCATTCTTTTCTACATTTCAGTTCACTTTACTTTTCTAGAAATGCTTTTTTTTACAGTTTAGACTTTTTCTTAATTCTCAGACACAAAATAATGAGCTTAGTAAGATTATCTATTTCTCATAATTTGCATGAGAAACAGAATCCCTTAACAACAACTAGACCAATAAGTAGAGATTTTTGTTTGTTTGTGTTTAACTTCTTCAAAATAACCTGTACTCAGAAACCGAGAGCACAAAAATAACTATACTACCAAAGTAGAAAAAGAAACTAATTAACAAAGTACAGATTTTGTTTCTAACTTTTACTTTTATCTGGGTGGAAGGTCTTCTTTCCATACTTTAATCCTATCTCTGTTGTGTACCAACAAAAATAGTTGCTATAAAAAGATACTCAAAATTCCAGCCTGAGCAGGTTTGATTTGGTACCAGTGTCACATGTGGTAAACTCAGGATTCTTCCTAGAACTAATTTCCACTTTGGAAATGTTTCGGGCCACCCAGTTTGAACAATGACCATAAGTTTCTTCTGAGTGTTTCAGGCCACCTTGCATATGAACTTTTAGGTCTTTGTGGCTCTGTCCCTGCTATCCTTCTTTATTTTTTCCCTCCTTCATATCTCCTCCAATCTTAAAAATTTTGTCTGGCAATCTTTTAAAAAAGCTATTCTTATGTTCTTTTTACAAAAGAAATTTATGGTAGAAAATTGGAAAATTTCTGATAAGCAAAAACATCCATACTACTACTCTACCAACATGATTAATAACTCATTGAATACTAATCTTCAATCTTTTTTCTATTAATTCTATGTGTGTGTTTTGTTTATATGTATGTATATATGCACACATCTGTATTTACACACACACACACACAATGTGTATAGTTTATAACAAAGACAGCAAGTAGGTTTTATCTTCAGTATTGTGTTCATCTGTTACTATGGTATTGATAAGAATCCTCAGGCTGAATTCAGTTCCAAAATGAAAGAGTGCTGTGATTGATTAGCAATGTCTGACATGAGTATAGGAGGGAGGAATACCAGCATGTGTGCCAGATATTTTCCATTCCAAATTGATTCTATTTATATAGAGGTAACTCTCACTATCTCAAGCATTAATGATTATTAGTCACAAACTCTGCTCTTGACTTACAGCTGTGAATGGATACACTTTTGGAAGTCTCCCAGGACTCTCCATGTGTGCTGAAGACAGAGTAAAATGGTACCTTTTTGGTATGGGTAATGAAGTTGATGTGCACGCAGCTTTCTTTCACGGGCAAGTATTGACCAACAAGAACTACCGTATTGATACAATCAACCTCTTTCCTGCTACCCTGTTTGATGCTTATATGGTGGCCCAGAACCCTGGAGAATGGATGCTCAGCTGTCAGAATCTAAACCATCTGAAAGGTAGGATATCTTTATCTGAAATTAGCAGTCAGCTGAAAAAGGTGGTTACTGGGAATCAGAATATAAAAGCTAAATATCTTTGAAATAATCTGAGCGTTGAACTGGCATCTTAGTGTTATTCCTATGATAGTATATATAAAATAATGTAATAAAAAAGACTGTAAGACAAGTATATTATAAAGTAATGAAATCTGAAAATATATTAGGAAAGAACAACTGGCCCTGAAAGTATAGTACTATATATACTTACTCAACTTTGTAAAATATACAGTGTTGTAAAATCCAGAAACACTGTATGTGGCAGTGGAAAGTACCCTGTTTTTCGACTTATTTCCATCAAGTATAATTAACTTTGTTCTTTATTTGAGCCTGGCCATTCCCTAGTTTAACTCGATAAATTCTTCCTTTAGCTCTTTAACTTAGGCAATAAAAACATTCCTTGTTCTTGAAAAATATTAGTTTTTAATATTAGTCTACTGAATAAATTAAGTTTAACATAGGAGTTCGGATACTTTACTCTGACCTGCAAATATAATTGCTTTTATCAAATATGCTCTGGGCCACAGAAGGCCCAGCACAGCAGATGCACAACCATCTTCTACAAGAGAGCAATAATACATGCTCATTTGGTACCTCCTCCTCCACCCAATGCAACCCCTTAAAATACGTCAAAGCCTCTCTTCTCTGCTTATCTACAGATTTGTTCTTTTTCTCTCATCAAAAGAACTACCAAGTGAAACCCCACAGAAACTGGTACCATATTTTAAAAACACATATGCTTAATATCTCTATGCTGTATGTACATAAAAAACAAAGTATGTCTGTTTTAAACTTGAGTTTTCCATCACGAATTTATTTACAGCTGTTTGCCCTCCTTTATAGTACTGTTTCTATCTGTCTATTCCTTCAATTTCTACTTGTCATCACCCGAGCAGTGTTTACAGGGCAATAGGAGAAACATTGGCTCCATTAATCAATGCCTCTTTCTGTTTCATTTCAGCTGGTTTGCAAGCCTTTTTCCAGGTCCAGGAGTGTAACAAGTCTTCATCAAAGGGTAATACCCATGGGAAGCATATTAGACACTACTACATTGCCGCTGAGGAAATCATCTGGAACTATGCTCCCTCTGGTATAGACATCTTCACCAAAGAAAACTTAACAGCACCTGGAAGGTAATTCAAAAAAAGAGTACTATTTCAAAATATGCTCTCCCCCACACAAAGGAACTACAAAAGGCTAATTCAGCAATTACAATTTTAATTGGTATCTGAAATTGAGTAACTAGACTGCTGTTTATTAAGGTATTTGGTGTAAGAGTCTGAGTTTGAGAACTATGAGTTTTGAGTCCATGAAAAAAATTGGGTTCAAAAGATATCAAATGCTTGACAAAGTCCTAAGAAAACACTGAATACAATTAGATAAATCAATTAATTTGCTTTCCATTTCAGAAAACATGACACTGTACAATTCAGCAGCATGAAGTACATTTACAGTGCTATATAGCCATCACAACTATCCATTTCTAGAACTTTATCATCCCAAATAGAAACTCTGAACCCTTTAAACAGTAACAACCTTCTTCCTCTCTTTCTCCACTCCCTAATAAGCTGGATTCCACTTTCTGTCTCTATGAGTTTTCCTATTCTAGGCAACTCATACAAGTGGAATCATACAATATTGGTTCCTTTGTGTCTTTTATATCACTTAGCATAATGTTTTAAGATTTGTTCATGTTGTAGCATGCATCAGAATTTCATTCCTCTTTAAGGCTGAATAATGCTTCATTGTATGTATATACCACATTCTGTTTATTCATTCATCTGTTGATAAACATTTGGGTTGTTTCCACCTTTTGGCTATTGTGACTAATGTTGCTATGAACAATTGTTATACAAATATCACTGTTCAAGCCTCTGCTTTTAATTCTTTTGCATATCCAGCTAGAAGTGGAATCGCTGGATCATATGGCAATTCTATTTTTAATTTTTTGAGGAACCACATTTACTGTTTTCCATAGTAACTGCACCATTTTACAGGCTCATCAGCAATGTACAGGGGTTCCAATTTCTTCACATTCTTATCAACACTTTTTATTTTCTGTTTTTTTTTTTTAATAGCCATCCTAATGAGCATGAGCGATATTTCATAGTGGTTTTGATTTGCATTTCCTTAATGACTAGTAATGTTGAGGATCTTTTCATGTACTTTTTAGTCATTTGTGTCTCTTCTTCAGAGAAATATGTATTTAAGTCCTTCAGTCATTTTTGAAGTGGGGTTTTTTGTTGTTGTTGACCTGTAGGAGTTCCTTATATATTCAGGATATTAATTCCTTATCAGTTATTTGCAAATGTTTTCTGGCATTTTATAGGTTGTCTTTCACTTTCTTGATAGTGTCTTTAATGTACACAAGCTACTCTTTGTACATGTCTGAATGACTTCCACAGCCTCCCAGCCATTCTTTCTGTTTGTCTTCCTTTCCTACTATCGATTTTTTACAAAGCAGTACTGTGATCTTTCAAAAACGTCAGTGAGATGATGCCACTCCCCTGCTCCAAGTCTTTACTCATATATCACTTCCTCAGAGAATCCCTGTTTGCCATCCATATTAAAAATACCCTCCTTGGAAAGGTTAAGTAATTCATCCAACATCACACAATAAATGGATAGCTAGGCCTCGCTCAGCCCAGACCTGTGACTCCTGAAGCAGAGATGTCAGTCCCAGGCTACACTGACACCTACATGTGATTACTCCTAAAGCTGCATCTCCAACTCAGAAGGCTTTTGTGAATTTCAGATTTGCATTTCAAACTTTAGCTTAGTGACATCCCCACTTGGATGAGGCTGTTCAAACTTCTCTCCTCATCAAGTACTGCCTCATTTTATAGAAACTATCTCTGAAAGCTATCTACTTTCTTTGCCAATATCTATGAACTCATCTCTGCCTCTTACTGAGATTAGAAAAGCAGGCTCCTGACTGGTCTCCCTACTGCAATCTTCTATTTTCCAATGCATTCTCCAAACAGCTACCAGAGGGATCCTCCTAAAATGCTAATCCTGGATGCTTAAATCTTTCAAATGCTTCTCACTGCCCTGGGATGGGCTGAAACCTTAACTAGGTCCTCCTGCCTATCTCCCATCTATCTAAGCCTCATTCTTCACTCCTCTGCCCTGCCCTGCATGCTATGCTTCTGCCATATTTTCTAGAACATGGCACACTCGCTGTTTTCTCTAAGCCTTCACATAGGCAGTTTCTTCTTTGTATACACCAGCCCTAGTCTCCGCACTACACACACACTTCATCTTGCTAACTCTACTCCCCCTTTAGATAGTTTTAAGTAATCACTTCCTCTGGAACATCTTTGTGGCCTCTTCGCTGCACTTTTCCCCAACCTCAAAGAAATGCTCCATAACACCCTGTGTTTATTACACTGTATTATATTGATGGGTTCTGGCCTGTCTTCTCTGCTAGATGTAAGGTTCATGTGGATAGGGATGAGTCCACCTTGCTTATGGTTAAGTCATCAACACGTAGCAAGATTCCCAGCAAAGAGCAGGTGTTTGATGCAGTTGTCAAATGAAAGAAATGATGAATGAGGTGGCTTTGTGCAAGTCAAATAATTACCTTTCTGAAATTTAATTTCTTCATTTGCAAAATAGGGAGAATAATACCGACTTTGTGGTGATGTCACGTGAGTTTCAGCTAATAAACAAAAGCTCCTGGCCGGGTGCGGTGGCTCACACCTGTCATTCTAGCACTTTGGAAGGCCAAAGCGGGTGGATCACTTGAGGCCAGGAGTGCAAGACCAGCCTGGCCAACATCCCAAAGCCCCATCTCTATTAAAAACCAAAAAATTAGCTGGGCATGGTGGCATACGCCTGTAATCCCAGTTATTTAGGAGGTTGAGGTATGAGAATCACTTGAACCAGAGAGGCAGAGGTTGCAGTGAGCCAAGATCGCACCGCTGCACTCCAGCTTGGGCAAGAAAGGGAGACTCTGCTTAAAAAACAATAAATAAATAAATAAATAAATAAATAAATGTTCCTGAGCAGCTGGCCAGTGCTAATACACAACAAAGAGTAGCCACTGTGGGCCAGGCGCAGTGGCTCATGCCTATAATCCCAGCACTTTGCAACGCCGAGGCGGGCGGATCACGAGGTCAGGTGATCGACACCATCCTGGCTAACATGGTGAAACCCCGTCTCTACTAAAAATACAAAAAAGTAGCTAGGCACGGTGTCACATGCCTGTAGTCCCAGCTACTCAGGAGGCTGAGGCAGGAGAATTCAGCCTGAACCTTGGGAAGCGCAGAGGTTGCATGAGCGAGATAGTGCCCAACTGAACTCCAAGCTGGGCGAACAGAGCGAGACTCCCTCTCAAAAAAAAAAAAAAAAAAAATTGAAAGGATAGCCACTGTGTTTTTAAACATTTCAACATTTGATAAAAAGATTCTATGGCGTACGAATCCCTTTGTCAACGGGAATTGACAGGGGCCCTTTTTGAAAATTTCTCATTCACTTGAAAAAATAAAACCATCCCTCACATGAATTTCCCTACTTCTTAACTATGACCATCCTTTCCTATGGTGCCTGGAACTGTCTCTTTGTTTGAGTAAGCTGTACGGATTGCTCCTAATAATCATTTGGATATAGTATGTCCAGCTCCTAAGCACTGGTGCAGGAATTTTCTCTTTTTAAATTAGCACCTTATAGAATACTGCTTTCTGTTCTACTTCAACCCCTAGCATTTAAACACAATTTTTTTTCCCCCCGCAGTGAATCAGCGGTGTTTTTGAAACAAGGCGTCCACAAGAATTTGGAGGCTCTATAAAAAAAGCTGGTTTAAGTCAGTCAGAGTACACAGAGTCCTCCCTTCAAAATCGAAAGGAGAGAGGGCCCTGAAGAAGAGTCATCTGCATCCTGGGTGAGTCCGTGCAGAATATTGTATGGCTGGTATAGCTCCCATGGCCCAAAATTCAACTCAGAAAGAATAGTAATCGTTCAGGACCTATCTGCATTGATTTCTATGATGTATGAAACGTAGGTGTGTGGAAAAGATAAAACAATAAAT